ATAGGGATGAAATCGTTTAGGGATGAGCGGGTTTAAGAGATTAAGAGTTTAAGAGTTTTAGCCAAATGCATTATAATATAGTATAGATAAAGGAATTAACCAAGTTCAGGATATTTTTTAAATAATCATTCCTTACTTCTAATCATCTCATTCGTTAAATGTGTGATTTCAAATACAAACCTAAATTTTTTGGACCTAATTTTATATTGTTTAGGATCATTCACCAATTAATGTAAAAACTATAGCGCATCCTTAGTGCCACTTTAATTTTTACTGGAAGATAAAAGTAATAAGTCTTATCTCGCATTTGTAATTTATATGTGTATATTATATATATATATATATATATATATATAAATCCAATTCATTCATTTTGCAACTGTTAATCCTTTATGAATAATTGATGGCTACAGGTTTTATGAACCCATACATTCAATTCATTCATGGTAACCGTCGATCCTTTATGAATAATTGATAGTCGATTGTGTAACTGTGGTTAGGGGTAGAGGTTATATAAACCTTTACTGGTTTCCACTCACATACAAGTAACGATTTCGTCAGCAGAGGTAAAGCTCAATCGTACTATGTTCTATGGTTCTTTGATAAACCGTTTAGGCCGTTGTATACTAAGATTAGTACCCAACGCTCTACCTATAATGGTGATCATCTGTTTTAAGGATATTGTGTTTAACACGAGCCTCAACTAAATCTTATTTTACGGTTCTGAATTGGTTTTGGATAACACTACTAACATGCTTTAGATTTTGCTTTTTGGTGTTAATTGCATGTGTGGATTTATACATAAATTTGGTATTTTTTTGTGGTTTTGACAGTGATTTTTTGTACGAGTCTTTTATCGTAAAACATTTCAAAGAAATAGTAAACGTAAAATAAAAAAACAAAACTAAGAAAATAATAAAAATGGGATCCAAACCCGCGTCTGGAAGGAGGAAAAAGATCATGCAAACCAACTCTACGAAATGAAACTTGTGTTTTTATTGTAGCTTCAAAGAATATATGATTGTACCCAACAAAATAATACAGCGACACCTTTTACAACCATAATTTTTTTACAATACTATGGAAGAATGAAGCAGTGACATGTGCCACCGTATGTACCATAATGGGTCTGCTTGTGTAATTGTGCTAGACTTTGCCTATATATGTTGTGAAGTGATTTTCTCTAACATTTTAAATGAACCCTTAAGCATTCATCTTGCTAATTGCACATGTGTGTGTACAAGGGGTGCTTCAATTTGTTTTGCTGTCTTGTTTCAAGTTTGATTTTTATGTTGTTTGGATTTATAGTAATATTCTAGAACATGGGGAAGAACTACCCAACCGTGAGCGATGAGTACAACAGGGCTGTCGATGAAGTGAGGAGGAAGCTCAAAGACCTTATCGCTGAGAAGGGAAGTGCTCCTTTGATGCTTCGCCTCGCGTAAGATAAGACTGCACTGTTGCTTTCATAATCACTGTTTTATATAGATTTGTTATGGTTATAGTTTAGAGGTGATTGATTTGAGAATATGATCTAAGTCCAGCCGATATGGAACCCCCTCCAACGAAGGCTAGATGTGTCCTAGAGTGTCGAGAGAGGGTTAGACAGGTTAGGAATGCTAGCCAAGAATAGATTGGCTCAGAGTGTTGAGTCACTTGAGTGGTAGGTCTTGACTCTGATACCCTATGGAAAAAAATATATGAAATACCTAAATTGCAATGCAACATACATGGAAAAGAAATGATCCAAATATAACAGATTTAAGATTTAATAACTAATTTATATAAGTTTTTTAGGAAAAAAACTTTACAATAAGATTTGTTTGAAGGAATGCTTGAATTTGAAACAACGGGAATGAAATCTAACAAATATGGGCTTAGAGATCCAATGATGATAGTTGGTATTTTTCGAGATTTCATAAGATTTGTTTGTAATAATGTTTTAAAATATACCAAAAATACTTGTTTTATAATAATCAATTAATAAAAAAATAATTTAATTATTTTTACATAAACCAGATGGCACTCTGCTGCTACTTTTGATGTGAAGACCAAGAGTGGAGGTCCATTTGGTACCATGAGGATTAAAGCAGAGCAAACCCATGCTGCCAACAATGGACTTGATGTTGCTATTGATCTATTGGAGCCTCTTAAACAACAATTCCCTATCATCTCCTTTGCTGACTTCTATCAGGTTAATCCTATTCATTTGGGATCATGTAAGATCAAAAGTTTTTCGTGAGATTCGTAAGAATAATTCTTAACCCTTGGATTAAATCTACAATCTGAACATTCATAATCACAAAACTACCACGAGGCTTCTTAATAATCACAAAATTATCACCGTGCAACTTTAGACCATTAGATCATTAGCTTATAAAGTTGATCAATGAACATAAATTAGTCTTACGGATCTCACGAAAAACCCTTGGTGTCACGTGAACCCAACCCTAATCCTATTACCTTCAATTCATTCAAATTAGTAGCATGCAAATCTTGTATAATTTGTGTGATATAGTTGGCTGGTATTGCTGCTGTTGAAACTAGTGGAGGACCAAATATTGTGTTCCACCCAGGCAGGCAGGTTGGTTCCTACTTCTTTTGTGTTCATCTATTAAAACACTATTCTGGATAAACGATTATTTACCTTATCAATTAAATATCGAGAATCTTACCTGGTAAAAGGCATACCAAATACCTAGAGTCTTACTTGGTAAGTAAGAAAAAAGACTCATACACGGTTAATCTATTTTGTTACATGATAAAGTAAGTGAGGGTGATGTCTCTCGCGGTAAACGCTTACCCGGTAACTCTCCCTTGTATATGGTTGCTAATTATGGAAATATTACTCCCTCCGTTTCAAAATAAATATATATACATTACTATTTTAGTTTATCTAAAAATAAATGTAGTAAACTAATTTTCCTTTGTTTGTTTCTCAGGACAAAGACGAACCCCCGGTGGAAGGGCGTCTCCCTAATCCCAATGAGGGTTGGTCAAGAGTTCTTTTACCTTAATTTAATTATGTACTTTGGATGTGTAAAATTCATGATTGATGAAGCCATATATATATATATATATATACATAATTCAGGAACTGACCATTTAAGGGATGTATTTGTGAAAACCATGGGTCTGACTGATGAGGATATTGTTGCTCTATCTGGTGGTCATACTCTGGTTCGTAACATTACCGTTACCGTTACCGTTACGATCCTTATCGTTTTGTTTATTACACTTTTGACAATGTAACTGCTTATGTGAGATTTTTCAGGGATCTTGCCACAGGGACCGGTCTGGGTTTGAAGGACCATGGACGTCCAACCCCCTTATCTTCGATAATAGCTACTTTATGTGAGATTTCTTTCCATCTTTTATTGAGCTCCCGCTTGCAAAATTGGTTTGCGGGATTTGGAATTGGATTCCATTCCAATCGACTGTTGGCGGCTTATGTGATTCATGATTCCTAAATGCTGGTTGCAACAGAGAACTCGTAGCTGGTGAGAAAGCAGGGCTTATCCAGCTGCCTACCGATAAAGCCCTCCTCGGAGATCCGGTTTTCCGACCTCTTGTTGACAAATTTGCTGCTGTAAGTACATTTACCTGCTATATATACATTTGTACACTTGGAATGCTCGTTTACTTTGGGGTGTTTTGGTTAAACAGGATAAAGATGCCTTCTTTAATGCTTATGCAGAGTCGCACATGAAGTTCTCTGAGTTGGGGTAAAGTCTCCAAACTTTTGTGTTAGAATTAAGGGGTTTGTAAATGAAACCTATATATACAGAGAGAGATGGGGAGGTATCAAATACGGACAATAACCAAATAAAAGAATATGAAAACGGATAGTTTACATGTAAAATCACATGTGATTTTACATTAATGGCGAAGGTGTGCGGCGATGTAGCTGAAGTCTTGGGAATTTCATGTGATTGTATAGTGATTTTATATAATTTGACCGTTTTCTTATTCTTTTATTTGGTCATTATTCTCATATGAACCTGACACATACACATACTCTCTCTCTCTCTCTATATATATATTTAATTACTCCTCCCGTTTAGTGTTCACAATAAAAAAGTTAATTGAACTCCATTTTACCCTTAATAATAGAGAGATAGTTTTCTATCTCATAATTAAACTATGACAGACCCAAGATTTTTGCCAAAAGGGTGCACTTTTAAGCTAGATCAAATGCCGCAAAATTGTCCGACGTGCTTTTAGCCAAATCCCACCTTTTCAAGGGATTCTTCAAGTTCGGTTCATTTCGAGGGACTTTTTCCATTTTCTGGCTAATGTTCATTGTATTTTCTGATATCCCGTATCACCCCTCAAAATTTAGCTGACACACCTTTCATACCAAAGAAATTTTCACCCACTTAAATATGTCGAATCTCTCGCTCAACCCCTCATTGGTCCGTCCCTGATTAGAGATAGAATGATAAAAATACAAATTTTATTTTTTTAAAACAAATAAAAACAAAAACTGTAAACAGTGGGAGTGAGAATGGGGCAATAATAACTAGGAAGCTGATTTAACAAATGTTTGGGTGCATGCATGGTTTTGCAGATTTGCTGAGGCTTAAAAGAGAGTGGTAACCTCCTGCTGCAACTGCTGCTGCACCATCCTTCTTATCTTTTCTGTTTTTATGAATAAAAAGCACTTCTGGTGTAGCTTCAATGAATAATGAAATTTTTAATGGATTTTTTTTTTAACCGTGAATGTTTGGACCAATTTATGTGTATCTCGACTAATTCCAAGAGACCTAGAGAACAGTTAAAAACATCCCTAGGACCTTACAAGACTCGAACTGATGATGACCTCCTAGAGACGGACCTAAATAAATTTTCAAGTGGTGACACCATTTGACTATAAGAAACAAATATAACGATACTTTTCATAAAATCATTATTGCTAGTTGATCTTCATTCCCCTTCTATGATCATTCATTCTTGGATCTTTCCATTCTAATCATCAAACCAAATATGGCATATCAAGTAGTGTTATATATAATCGAAATCAAATACATTTTAAGTCGAGTTACATAAAATTTTAAAAAGTAAATAGTATCTAAATTAAGGGGCCGTTTACCAAAACACTTATACGATAAGTGCTTAACGGTAAAATTTAACACTATTATTTACTAACTAGGTAAGATTTTAGTCCACCAAAACGACATCGTATGCAACAATTTACTCGGTAAGTGCTTACCATGGTAAGAGTCATCTCCCTCACTTACCGGGTAAGATTCTTGGTCTTTGTCTCTTTCTTACCAGGTAAGATTCTTGGTCCTTACCATATTCATCTGATGAGATAATGATACTATTTAAAATTTCTCTCTTTATGATCACATCATCATCCTCATAGTAAAAAAAAAAAAAAAAAAAACTTCACTATGTTATTTGGGGTTTTAATATTTGTAAATAGTATCCAAAGTCTTTTCCAATTAGAAAAATTTATGGGCTCTTCTCATATGTTTTTTATAGTTAAAATCTAAGGGGTCGTTTACTTAAACACTTACCCGGTAAACATTTACCGGTAAAATTCAATATTATCGCTTACTTACCGGGTAAGATTTTATTCACTAAAACGCATCGTAAGCAACAATTTATCCCGGTAAGCACTAATCATGATAAGAGTCCTCGTTCTCAGTTACCGGGTAAGACTCTTGATTATTGTCTTCGCTCTTTCCAAGTAAGATTTTTAGTCTTTGCCATATTCATCCGATAAAGTAAAGTGACTTGGTAAGCGTTTGATAAACATCACCTAAATTGTGCTTTTTAAGGGATCGTTTTTCAAATTACATCTTAGAGCATCCTAAACAGTTCCATTCAATCGTTCCGTAGGGAGGAAGTGGTTTATCTGCCAATAAGAGAAACGCTTCTCGTATAAAGGACCGCTCGTTGGTAGGGCCCACCATCACAAATATTATATAAAATAAAAATAATTTATGTTTTTCATTCTTGTTCTTATATAAAATATTATACAATAATTAAACAACAAATGATTATTACATTTTTCATTTTATAAAAAAAATATTATTTAAAATGATCATGTTGGTTTTATTTGATCTAACTTTATCAATGTCAAGTTTATTTTTTCTAAAATAAATGTATACAAAATAGAACGCAAATATAACAGTAAAAGAAAACTGACATGATAAAATTATAAAAAAAGGTTTATGATATAAATGTTGTTAAGTAGGAGGGACTGATTTAGTCCCCGAAACACGATTTTTAGACTACCAGTATACTTTATGATTTCGAATGACAAAAACAAAAAAAAAAGGCAATTTTTGGGTCAACAGTGTGCTTTATGATTTTTGGGCCACCAATTACAATCAAATATTAATTATTAATAAATAAATAAAATTTAATTATTATTAATATTAATTAATAGTAATTAGTGTAAGTTAAAATTTATTAATTGATTTTAATTTTCAAGAAATGAGGGATTTATTCACTTTTATTTATTGATATTAATATTAATATTATGTTATTAAATATTGATTATTTAAAATTACTATTAATTATATCAATTATTTTAATATTTTTTTAATTATTACTTAGTATATCTAGTTATAAAAAAAACAAACATAACAATTCAAGTTATATAAAAATTATAATTATACTTATATTGTTTCATAGATAATAAAATTGTGTTAAATGATTTTAATGAAATATTTAACTTAATTATTAACTATAGTTTTTTGAAAAATCACTAATTAATTAAGATATGTGAGGTTAATCAATTTTATTTATATTTATATTATATATAATAGTTATTTAAAATTATAAATTAATGTAAATTATTTTCTAAAATATGTTTTAAAAAGTCCAAAATTTATAATGTATATAATAATCAATTTAAAGTTTTATTTTAATTAATATATAATATTATTATTTTACTATCTTGCTTGTATTAATATATTATATTATTAAATATTTGTTTTAAATAAAATATTGTAATTGACTAATTTTTAAATGTCATTTTTGATAATTTTACATGCTTATCAGCTAGTTTTAACCCAACGTGCTAACTTATCAGTCATCAGATAACACATCAATTAGTTTGCTAAACATAATCTAAACTACATATAAAACAACATAAATCAAGTTGACATTTTTCCGAACCAATCTACAAGCAATTAAGAGCCAACCTGACCAAATTATTTATGTTTGACCAATTTTCGACCACACCATGAATACCCAAGTGACATATGAGTATGCGTACATATAATTATTTACAAACTCAATAATTAATTCGTATAAATTTACAGAAAAATTTTAATGTGTTGTTTTATATATTAAACTACACTTGCGAAATTGTAGTGTTTTTTGAAAGGGCATGCCAGGTTATGACCAAACTAATCCGACAAATTGTGACTGCAAGAAATCAGTCATAATTACTCAGTGGCCATAATTGTTGTGTACACTTGGAATTGAACCATGGGTATATTGGATATTACACCTCGCCCTAGGACCTCAACCACTATGTCACAACCGTTTTTAGTTAATATAGTATTTATACAGTGTTGTTTCATATGTGAAACATTCATGATTTTTTTTATATGTGAAACAAACAATCATAAACGTTACACATATAAAGCAACATTATATAAACACACCGTTTTTATACAAATAAAAATTAATTTATAAATTTATACGAAATTATTGGATTCGTAAAAAAAACAAGACTAATAAACAACAAAAGTATTATTTGGATCCATTATTCTTTGGACATTATTGATCCAATAAATTTAATCAACTAAGTGTTATTATTAAAAACAATATTTTTTATTAAAGGATACGGATAAGAGTTATTGGTTCCCAGGCATGAACACACACAGGTTCGACGGCACCTTACTCCGACCTGAGCTATGCAACAACGAGATCGCCCTACACCGGCGTTGCTTGCACGGTCTTCGGAAATGGTTGATGCAAGGCCCCCTATCAAACGTAAGGGTGTCAAGAGATGTCAGAAACGATTCCCGATAATTTAACGATCACTAATCGGGATCGTATAAACCAAACCATTGTATTATAACTCAATATCTTCATAGTATTTATGGTCATTAATGCTTGAGGAGATATTGTTTTAGATGCATTGATTGTAATTTCAGTGGTTGTGGGTAGAAAAAATAAACACGTTTGGGACCAACCATGCATTTTGACCAAAGACGTTTGACTTATTTTGGCACCAATGATGAAAGACCAGCGACTCAATCTCAGTCGTTGATCAACAGGCGGCTGCTTATTTTAGTAAATTACTTGGACATCTTCACTATGACTTCCCATTAAATAAATTATTCTCTATTTATTCATACATTTTTTTTTGTAAAATAAATTGCTTGTATTCGTCTTTGAAGACATGTTTGTTACCAGCTTAATTAGATTCACAACTTATCTGGTCAACTATAAATGAGTACTTGGTAGGTGCTTAATGACATAGATAGTAACTTAGTAAGCTTGTAAGAGATAACTTTATACAAAAAGTCAAATTTTTTCCAAACCTGTCACTTCCAATTAAAAAAACACGCTCCAATCTATGGAAAAACCATCTTAAACAAAAAAAAATCTCAATCTATACAGACAGATTAATCTATACAGATACATACAAGACTTAATAAATAAAAAAAACCAAATAGCCCCTTACCTAGTAGATGCTGAAGAGTCTGTTTCTTCATTTACCGCATAACCGTCCATTAGCATGTTAAATATGGGTTCCTGAACAGGACCCCAAATTACTTGTGTCTGGGTCTGATTTATATAGAATTGTGAACCAACGATGAAGACTAATCTAATTTATTTCAAAACAAAAAAACGACTATTTATTTTAGAATTTGTTGATCAAAAACAAAAAGACTCTTCGATTATCACTTTGTCATTTTAAATATATTTATTGTTTTAATTTGTATATTTTTAATATGACATGAATTTCTATATTTATTGTTTATTATCCGTTTTGGACAAACTATAATTTTAGTACATGTGTAACATGACGACTTTGATTTATTGGGTAATAACATTAGCTTATGCCATGCATTTTACTAGATAAGATTTTCCATCCATAACATGCTAATTCAGTTAAGTAAGAAACACGTAAGTGCTTAACCAATAAGCCCTAAACTTATATTATTTATATACATCTCAGTGTCACCTTTGACGCATAAAGTTGGAACAACTTCACCTAAATGCAAATACAAGTCACAAAGTAACAAGTCACAAGTCAGATACCCCAAATACAATACGTTTGAGTTTGAGTTTGACTTTGACAAATTAATTATGTATTTATTCGGAAACGAATTTAAGGGTTTGAAATTATGGAAATATTTTATTACATAAATATTTTATTATATAAATATATATATATATATATATATATTCCAAGTCCAAACGCGTATCGGTGCGATTTCCTATCTTCTTCCTGGTTCTTTCCATCAACAACCCCATTTGATTTCGTATATAGACTCACTTCAAATCTAATTCTCTCTCTCAATCTACACTCGAATTCGAGCTGAAATTAACAGATAATATCGTCGGAGGTATATATATATTTGCCGTCGGAATCTGTTACAGTAAAGTAATGGCGGACTTAAACGGAGGAGCTCAGTACACGGACTTTCCGGCGATGCCGACGTATGGAGGTCGGTTTGTTCGGTACAACATATTCGGTAATGAATTCGAGATCACATCAAAATACCTTCCTCCTATTATGCCTATTGGCCGCGGTGCTTATGGGATTGTCTGGTACGTCTATGCTTGATTTCGGTTTTCCGATGAGTTTATTAGGTCGATAGCCTTTTGTTTTTGTAATTAGGGTTAATGATCTAAGTTTTTTGTTTTTGACTTGGTTTGATTTATTTTGATTAATCATCAGTTCGATGTTGAATTCGGAGACGAATGAGATGGTTGCTATGAAGAAGATTATGAATGCTTTTGATAATTACATGGATGCTAAGCGGACGCTTCGTGAGATTAAGCTTCTTCGACACTTGGATCATGAGAATGTGAGTGATTCTTCTGTGCTAGTTTTAGTTTGTTTATTTGGGCGCAGAGTCTAATCCTATTTGATCTCTTACACCACATGGTATAATTAATTAATTAGTAACATAATTTCTAAAGTCTCATGTATGTTCTAGAAATTATTCTTTCTATAATCATTTCTAATCAATTTCTTAAATGATTCCTTATCATTAAAAAAACTATAAAGGCTTCTAAAACTTTTGATTTTTTAGTGGATTTTGTTTAAGAGAAGGAATTAGTAAATCAGTTTAGAGTAAACTACATTTTGGTCCTTGTGTTATAGTGAAATGATTGGATATCGTTCCTATAGTTTTCTTATTCCATTTTCGATTATTGTTTTCAATTTTATTACGGATTTGGTGCTCATGTTTGTTAAGTGAAGACTCGAGTATGCATGTAGTAATTTCTTTGTGAAGTCATAACTTTTCATCGTCAAGATGATTCTTTTAGTTGCATAATTTTTGAGATTTACATGCCAAATAAATTTTGGTGATTTATCTTATATGCATTTAGCATGGATGATCTTTGTGACATCATAACTTTTGAATCATAACTCGGATATGTACCTTATGTTTTCGAGATCTACATGTTGAAATAATCTGGTGATTTATCAAGCAAGCTTCAGAGTTATCATGTTTTTTCAAGTACAATTCGTGTATCCATGTATGCGAAAAAACATGACAACTCTTTGATGCTTGCTCGATAAATTATATATTTTTTTTTGACAATATATGCCTTGAAAAAATAAGCAACACAAAAAAATCATCTCGATTGGGGTTACAAGGAAAAAGTAATTACCTCGTGATCAGGCCCGTTCCTGATATTTTATAGGCCCTAGGCGAGATGTAAAATGGGCCCTCGATAAGTATCAAAAAAATTCAATATAGTGTTTTATCATCATAAATTACATGAATTCAAAAAATACTAATAATTCATATAAAATCGATTTCCGAGTATTCCTATACGCAAAATCAATCAATAATTACTTGTAAATTAATATTATCTATCTTATCATTTAATCCATTCCATTGCCAAACACATTCTATGATATACCTTTTAGTATATAGATTGATATCATTTGAGGTCACAATGTTGATTACTCAGAGTAATGCTATATGTAAACAATTCTTTTAGGGACTATCAATCTTAAAATCAAAAGTCCATATTGGTTATAATTTGAGATCTTATTGTTGTTTAAGAGATAAGAGAGTACTTAATATTTATACACTCACTCTTACGTAATAAGAAGTCAATTATGAATGAAAAAGACAATAGTAGTTTTGAAATCTTAAATATGGATATAAGTTGAATCGTCTCACGTGCTTGATAATTATTTTCAAAAGGTAGGGGGTTTCTTAGTTAATAACAAGAAGTCTACTATATTCTAATACAAAAATAGAATTCATGTGGTGGGAGATGAATGGTGAAGAATATATCAATATTTTCTACTCAAGGTAGTTTTAGAATTTTAGTAGTGGATAAAAAACTTAGAGAAACAATAAACAATACTATAAATGAACAACCAATTAATTTTTTACATATTTTCTTCTCCGGTGCATACATGATTGGGCCCTTAATATAATGCTAAATTCTTTTTGGATCATATTAGATACTATTTTTTCCATTTTATTTATTATTTTTTTGAACTACTACTGTATACTATATAGTATATACAAAAAAAAGTTGGGCCACTATATTTCTTCTTGGAGTAGGCCCTACCCGCCCGACCCCAGGAACGGCCCTGCTCCTGATGTTACTACATGCATAATTGAGTTGTACTCGAGAAAACACGATGACTCCTCGACATTTGCTCGATAAATCGTCAAATTTTTTCAGATTGTAGATTTAAAAAAAAGCAACCGAGTTACTCGTGAAAAGCCATGACCCCACCCACGTAAATGTTACTATATGCCTATGCAAGTCTTCACTTAACAGTTTAAACTTAAAGATGCCTGATGCTAGAACCACACACGTACTCAATAGCGAGGTATTACACAATCTTATATAGGAAATGCATTTGGTTGTTGTGGTATCTATTTAGTGTATATCTTTGACAACCATTGTTGATTGGAACTTGAATGTAATTCAGGTTGTAGCTATAAAAGATGTAGTTCCTCCACCTCTACAAAGAGAGTTCTCAGATGTCTACATTGCCACTGAGCTCATGGATACCGATCTTCACCAAATTATTCGATCAAATCAAAATTTATCAGAAGAACATTGTCAGGTATGAGAACAGTAAATATTTTGAGAACCTGAGAGCCAACTATTCATGCTTTATTCTCAAATGAATATTCACCATTCTTGCAGTACTTCTTGTATCAACTATTGAGAGGATTAAAGTACATTCACTCTGCTAAAGTCATTCATAGAGACCTCAAGCCTAGTAATTTGTTGCTGAATGCAAATTGTGATTTGAAGATTTGTGATTTTGGACTTGCCCGGCCAAATGCGGACAACGATTTTATGACTGAATATGTTGTCACGAGATGGTACAGGGCACCCGAGCTGCTACTCAACTCATCAGACTATTCGGCTGCCATAGATGTGTGGTCTGTTGGCTGTATTTACATGGAGCTTATGAACAGAAAACCTTTGTTTGCCGGTAAAGACCATGTGCATCAGATGCGACTATTAACAGAGGTACATATGATCAAGTCCTTTGGATAAATGACCTTATATGAGTTTTCAGTTAGGAGCGTGACCTTCTAAAATTTTTTAGTTCAATGACCTTCATCTGACCTGCCTCTATTTAAAAACAGTCGGATCCTGTAAATACTTAGAAATATACTAGAGGATGATTTTGCAAAATAGCCCCATATGATCCTACTTATGTTATCGAGATACCTAACTACGCATTCATTTCCTTGTGCAAAAATGTTAAGATCATGAATCATGCCCCAGATTTCGGTTCCTTTTCCTCTTAAAAAGTTTTTATATATATATAGACCCGGGTTGGGCTCCGGTGAGAAGGAGAGTTAAGGTGAGAGGCGTAAGAAGAGATCTCCATCCTTGGATGCACATTAGGATAAGATGCACCGAGATATACCGTATGAATCCCCGTATCAAGCGCAATTCACGGGTGGGTTTGAGATTAAAGGTGATCAAGGGTCCAGATCCCTTCGTGCACTTCTTACCTTAACTCTCCTTCTCTCACAATCCATCACCATATAGACCCTATATATATAGAAAGGTTCCGATAAGAAGACTAAATATCGTGACTCGTTAGAAGGTAAGAACGGAAAGGTTAAGGGCAGCAGATTCATATGTGGATCATTGAAAATGCATCCGAACACACCATGCTAGTTCTGTGGATTTATTTCAAAAATAGATTCTTATCCAAGACTTGTATCATTTGATGACGCCATGTGAATCCCTAGAAACATGTGGAGTGTATGGCTATCACATGACCGGATTCAAAACTCAGAAAACTATTTCTAATCACTCGTAATATGTATTTTGCAGCTTTTGGGCACACCTTGTGAATCAGAGCTTGGGTTTATCAAGAACGAGGATGCAAGAAGATATATCGCTCAGCTTCCACGACATCCTCGTAAATCATTACTAAAGACTTTCCCACATGTTAATCCATCAGCCATTGATCTGGTTGAGAAAATGTTGACATTTGATCCAGCCAGACGTATCACAGGTAATTACTATCTGGAGTTCCATATCTACTAAACACAAACCATCAAACCTGTAGGAACCTCCCTTCTCTTTATTAGGGCTCTTTTAGAAAGTAATCTGACGGGGTTCCATATCTAACGTGTATATATACTTATGTATCCGTCTACTTTTACAAAATGGTACTAAAATTTGTCTCTTAATTGCAGTTGAAGAGGCTCTAGAACACCCATACCTTGAAAGATTACACGACATTGATGATGAACCAGTTTGCGCGAATCCATTCTCATTTGATTTCGAGCAACAAGTTTTAGGAGAACAACAGATCAAGGATTTGATCTTCCAGGAGGCATTAGCACACAATCCAGAGTACGCGTAAAGGAATTACTCAACAGTTATTCGGATTTAGCACCGCATATTCGTGCTAAATAAAAATCTGATAATTTTTTTCCATAGTGATCAACCACCAGGAAGTAGGATCTGCAAACATATATGTTGTATAATTAAGCTATAAAACAATTTGCAGATGTGTCCCGTGGTTGATAATTCTATGTTTTACACGATAACATGTCTTTTTAGTAAGCCGGAAAAAGAACTTTTCCTGCTTACAACGGTTTTATTGGTTTTTTATATTTTTTTATTTATTGGGTGAGGTGTGTCTCATTCGATGACTTCCGTGTTGTTGTAATGGATTTTTGTTGAAATAAATCCGTACTTAGTTAACTTTAACTCCAAAAGTCGAACTAACTTTAATGATGGTATGCTTATGAACACTGTGCAAAGTCCGTTGTTTTTTTGTAATTGATGATCTACTTGGATATTTTGTCTCCATGTGAAGTATTACCTCAAATGTTTAATTCTCTTATGTGAAAATAAGAGAATTCATTAGATGTTTTAGTTTAACCCTTGCTTTTCAAAAATTAAATCATTTTCAGGTGAGTTTGTTGTAGAGAGTTCTTCCAAGGAAAAGGGCAACCTGTAATGCTTCTCTTACGTGGCGTTTGGTTCGCAGATTCTGGAGAAATCTGATGGAATTGGAATGTTTAATTCCATCGACCAAATTCTATTCCCTCGTTTGGTTCATTCTTTTTCACGAAAGTAATCTTCAAAATCCTACAATTTCCACAAATAAAGAAATTTAACATTCCTTAACAACTACATGATATTTTGATGGAATTGAATCACTATCTTCATTATACAAAATATGTTCTTAACCTAATATACTCTAATCTCATAAAGCTCAATATGACCATCGTCGACCACCTCTCGACCACTATTGATTTGAACCACCACCGCCGACCACCACCATCGAGTACCACCGATCTGAACCATCGTCGACCAACCACTACCACTGACTACCACCGATCTGAACCACCATCGACTACCACCGATCTGAACCACCGCCGACCACCGTCGATTTAGTAACGTCGTTTGGCTTATGATTATATATTGGCTTGTGTATTTTATATTGTTTTACATATTAAATAATTATTTTTATTAAAGTATTTTTAGTTTTAAAAAAATTAAAATTTTCAAAAAAGAGCATTTTGGTCATTTACCAATATTTTATTCTAATTCTAAAACTACATTATGTGAACCAAACAGACAGATTTCAATTCCTTAACAGATTCCATTCCAATATCTGCCAACCAAATAGGTGGTCAAATAAATCTGACAACATTCTATTCCAATTCCTTCAAAGTCAAATTCCTTTAACAGATTCCATTTCATCCAAAAACATTCTGCGAACCAAACGCCACCTTAGTGTTAGTTACGGTTTAGTCATCGACTTATCTTTAATTCTGTAATAAATCTTATTTTGGGATGTTGTTTTCCGCTACGAATCTTTGAGATGTGATTGGGGAATCTAATTACTTGTAAAACTTTGGTGTCGGTTTGACTATTTATGTTAATTGTCATTAATTTATTTTTTGGATTGTTACAGTGATGTATGAAGCTTTGTAGAGGTTTTAGGATGATTACTTTCTAAGCAATTGCATATTTTATTTTTTATTGATTTTGTTTGTTTGAACAAGTGTAAAATGAATCTATGTAATTATATAATCATAGATGATAATGACGGGTTTGTAAATGAAGGATTTTTACGTTGGATTTTAAGGGGGTGTTTGGGATTGTTTATAAAAACAATTTATTAACTTATTCCAGTGTGATATCGGTAATAAACACTTTTGAGTGTTTGAATAAACAATTTATACCGGTGCCAAACCGATAATAAAGAGTTTTTAAAGATTTAAACTCTTCTGACTTATAATAAGTTGATAAGTGTTTTTATAAAAAAAACATAAATTGTTTTAAATAAGCAATCCCAAACACCCCTTAAATATCTAAAATGGTTATTAAGAAATTATAATTGATAATAACTTTTTACAGATATATGATAATTAGAAAAAAAAAAGTATATTATATGTTTTAATATCGTCTTTCAAGTAATGAAGTGATAAAATACCGAATATCGTCCACAAATATTGTACTAAAAGCTTAATAAAAATATAATAAAAGAACTGGTTTCAGATGACGAATTTGAAGATTTGTTTGGTTTTGAGTTAGTACTACTGAAATAACAAAATAAAGAAAGCAACATTGGTGTAAGACTTGTAGTAAGTCATAAACACAAATTCCAGTTAGGGTGGGCAATGGGTAAGGGTAAAGCCGTTACCCGTTATGTTTCGACCCGTTGGATAAGGGTATAGCTGTATATGTATAGAAAATTTTATCTATTTATCACTTAACGGATAGGGTATGGATAAAGTGTTTTTCATTATCCATTTACCTATTACCCGTATATGTATGTATGTATGTATGTATATATATATATATATATATATATATATATGCTTAATCAAATGAGAACTAATTAGTTTGTGGTAACCGTGAGTTCCAATCTCAACCACAAATCAATAGATAAATTAGAAAATTTATAATTTTGGTAATTTTGAATTTAAATTTTAATGTAAGGACATTTTAGATATTTTAAAACTCTCATCTCTCCTCTCCTCTCCCCTCTCTTCTCTCTTCGTTCCCCGTCCTCCCTCCTCCGGCCTTCATCATCCGGTGATACCACAGTGGCATTACAATGCATCTTATATGTGTGTGGGTATCACATTGAGGTCGTTTGTGTGGTCGATCGAAGATGTTACACAGTTGTATCACAATGCATCTTATATTTGCTTGAGTATTACACTGTGTCTTTTGTTTAACAGAGTCAATATTTTTAGGTATTACAGTGGTATCACCGGAGGACGGGACACGGAAAGAGAAGAGAGAAGAGAAAATACCTAAAATGTTCTTGTATTAAAATTTTAATTCAAAATTATAAATTTTCTAATTTATATATTGATTTATGATTAAGATTGATCTCACGATTAACAAAAACTAATAAATTTTTTCTTAAATGGACAGATATATATATATATATATATATATATGGTATATTTCTTTTACAACCTTGTGCATTTGTACAACCTTTACAACCCAATTAATTGAGATATTTATAGAAATGATTGGAGTTCATTTACCATGATTTGAATATTTATGGAATATGAATAGAGTTTATTGATTATGATTAATACTTTATATTAGGAAACAATTAATTGATTAAAAATTGAATGGTTGA